ACATCTCCTCTACCCCTACTGCAATTTTCCCTCCTCTTCCTTCCTATCCCCCCCCCCATCAGTATACTGGACCGTTTTGTCCCCTGGGTTCTATAAGTGAGCCGATAAACCATGAATTACTTATTGTCATTATTTATACCTATATTATTATTAATATGATTAAGTTCCCTTCTATACACTCAAAAAGACTGACAGACTTTGTCCAAATAGCGATGCACTTCTTGCCATTATGTGGGTCATCCTGACCCAGTATTACCCGGCAAAATAGCGTATCCATGCTACACGCAGAGTATGCTAAAATTTAGACCATTTGACCCATTCATTATTCTGAGTTTATTCTAACAACTTATGGTGATCGTATAGACTATAGACTGACTCCTTTAACTGCGATACGGTCGATAGTTCTATACGAATATTTATAAGATTAGAATATTATTTCCGTATTAATTTCATATATTTCTTATTCATTTATTAAACAGTAATACCTCACGTGAATCTATATTTGCATGTACTATTAGCCACGTACACCTGAACACTTAAAAAAAATATTCACTGTCATGTCGTACCTATCACTAATCTATCTGTAAAATGCCCATATTTTATTATATATTATGATTGTTATTATTATAATATATAATAATATTAACATATTATTAACAACCTATCTGTAAAATACGAATATAAAATGAAGCCTAAACGCTTCTTGGCTCGCAGCCTTTCGATATAGTGAGTCTTTTAGCGGTGATCGTTCATGAGCTTCGTGCTGAATTTATTAAATAAATTTCAATATTGTTTTTCCTATTGTAAATGAAGACTAACCCACAGAATCGGGATTGTCTTTACTTACAAAGTACGAAGACTCAAAACTTAGTAGAAATTTTCAAATCTTACGCGCACCTTCTAATTTGCGACTTGTTTGGGTGAGTTATGTTGTATAACCATTGCTACAATACTTACTGATATAATTTTTATAATGGGCATCATCAGTATAATTGTATTTTATATCACAGCGTACTGCTGTGTGCGGCGCTGTGTAGTTTGTGTGTGCTGTGTAGTTATTAACAAACACACACTTTCTACTTCACACACAGAGCAAAGCGCGTGTGTGCCTAGCGAAAGTACTGGTGTGCTTCAGAGGACCTCACACAATAGCTGCTCTATTGTGTATAGTCATACAGTAGTGATCACACACTATACAACAATAGCTCGTTAAACATTAAACTGTATACTTTTTAGCGCATTTTCTCAATTATGGAAAAAATGCACTATTGTGCTCGTCATGTCCGTCCGTCCGTCTGTCTGTCTGTCTGTCCGTCCGTCCGTGACCTCAAGTTTTCGTCGACGAGAAAATGCGCTCTCTGTCACTCACTTCAGTGAGTACTAAGTTATATATTTTTTAAATATATACGTACTAGCTGTATCCAAAATTTACAACGTCTAAACTCTGGAACTATTAACTATTAAACTATTAATATTAAATTTTCAACGTCTAAACTTAATTATGTATTCGGAGAAGCAAAGTTTGTTATACGAGAACAAAAATGAAGATGTGCGTTGAAATATTGGTACTTTGGTGGAAGAGTTAGTACGCAGCTGGCCTCGAAGCAGCTGCGTAGTGCGTAACCCTGAGTATAAAGAGTTATGTGGTTTGCAAGTAATAAATTTAAGATATTTAATAAATACTACTCATGAGTTGTTGTTGTTTTGTCTGCTTCTTGAGGAAGTGGAGTCGTCCTCCATACACCTCACGGCTCAAAAGGCTCCCTCGTCTGGCAAGCCAATCTGTAATAAATAAGGCTATTAGGCAAAATAATTGTGTCTTATGTAATTCGTTCCACTCATTCGTAACGTCAGCCTCAAATAAACAAGATCGCGTGCAAGTGTTACAATGCATTCAAGTTTTTCCAGTCATAAATTTACAGAAATCTCAGTTGACGCAAGTCACTCAAAATAGAAAATATAGTCGCCAGCACCCAACACGTGGTAACGGAAAAATCGTAGCCTAGCTTTTTGTTACTCCACGTGGGTAACTTTTGTTCTGGCGCGGTCTAACTTGATATACTAACAGACCAAAACAATCGGTGAATTTATGAAAAAAAAAGTTTAAATTGGCGCTGGATACAAAATTGTTTTAGTGATTGCATCCTGAATAACCTTTCGTAAAATATTTTGCGACGAAAATTGACAAAATGCTATAGACAGTTACTTGTGTGATTAACAACACGCTTAAATGTTGATCCTATTTTTGTGAATTATGAAAAAATGTTGCTGACTCATCATTCAAGGTATTGAGGCGTTTTATCTTGATTTTCTATAACTTTGGCAGGATTGCAATACAAATGACTTCTGCCATTAATTCATTATATTGAGACATGTTCATTTTACAAAATTTGTCTTATGTTGCGAAGCTTAGATCTGCGCATAACAGATGATATCATATAAACATTTAGAAATTATATTTATAAACTGGTGAGAACCGACTAGGCTGCCATCTATCGCATGTGAGTGCGTTTGCAAGATGCTCAACTAGCAATAGCAGTGCTGCCATCTTGGCGGAACAACAGCTGAGCAGGCAGTGGATGCGAGGCTATCTGCGTGTGTGGGTGCTCGACACTGTAGGTCTGTCCGCTAACTCTACAGTTTCTGGTTAACTGTAAATTCGTTCTCTTGGTGCGAATATGAGATAGAAAAACGCAAAGTTTAGCACGCATAATTGTCTTCGAAGTTGCCAAATTTTTTAAGGTAAGTTACAAAGGGTAGATTCAAATTCAATTGGACATGTTACCGTCTTCCACACATGCAGGCTTTTGTTCCAAGATGGCAGTGTGCTAAATAACGTTCTTATACTCCTCAATCGAACTTGTTTCAAATTGTGTTCTTTTTCTCGTCTTTCAGGATGGAGTTGAGAGTTGGAAACAAATACCGTCTTGGACGGAAAATTGGAAGTGGATCTTTTGGTGATATTTACTTGGGTAAGTAGCCTATTTACCTACTTGATTAGCTATAACACAAGCACGTTATTGCTGGTAGCTAAAACGTGCGAGTTGCGACTCTCTTCGTTACTACGCATGGTGCTTTGTTAAGTAGAAATGCACGTTGTGCAAATTACTTTTATGTAGAAAATCAGCAAAACTTTGTTGCAGATTGAAACCTTGAATTTGCTGATTAGCTATGCTCTTTTATTTTTAATTTCATGATTTTTATAACTTTCATCGGGTTTTTCTTTTTCAATATAAAAACTATCATCTATTCATAATTTCATACCATTTGTCATGTTTTTGTGACATGCCAAATGGATTATTTTATTCTTTCTAAATCCAAGGCAGAAGAAACAAGTCCAAAATGCTCATGACCAAGGACAATTCCACTCATTTTTATTGCCCTTATTTAAATTCTTTGGTTGCCAAAAAATTGCTTATTTTTAGTCATGGTTTTTGAGAATCAGCTGCAAAACAATTTCACCCGAAATGGTTGGAAACTCTAAATGATATTAAATTTTGGTTGGAAGAGAGTACAACCGCATCCATATGAATAATAAGATTGCCTTCTTTGATTGAACAATTTGGTGGAGTTGATTTGTATCAGGATTGTAAAATTCTGACATGCTAGGTGCTAGGTGGAGATGACAATGGTAGCCTTTTTGCTTTGAAGTGGTCAAGCCATACTGTAAAACAGGGTGACTTGGACCATTTTGGCATTTAAGGAAAGAAAACCCTATAGTGGTGATAATTATGGCGATTCCTTAGGAAAATTGTGTTCATGCCTATTGAAGTACCATGTGATAACCTACAAATGCAATACAGAAGTATATTTTATATATTTACTACATAACTATTTATATTGCAAAGGCCAGTGTTAAAAATGGTCCAAGTCACCCTGTTTCGTGGTACTGAGCAACTGGGTAGAAGCAGTGATGTATATGTACTTAGAGTTCCTCTATTTTTATTAGTAATCTTTTTCTCATGTTACCTTCTCTTTTATGGACTGCTGTTAAAGATGAGATGGACAATTTTTTTTATGAAAGATTAGGGTTGAGCTCTCACAGATGTTCCACCTTGTGACATGTCTATACCATGTAAGGTGCAGGAGACTCTGGTCATTCTTAGATCTCAGTGACTGTTATAGGTTCCTGGACAATGGTTTTTCTTGTCCAATTAGAGAAGAGGGTTACATTAAATCAAACTAAGTAACAGTAAATATGAAGTGCTAACCATATGACATTAGTTAAGCCTTTTGATATTGAGCATTTTTGAAATTCAATACATGGTAAACTAAGAAGCAGAGTATTTAATATGAGTATAATCGTAATAATTATCTGCAGTAATTATGGACAGTGTATGGTCAGATGATGTACAATTTTGAACATATATATACTATTGCATTTTCCATGGTATTTCATTGCTGAAATGGATGTTTCTTAATATACATAGTGATTCACAGAAACTTCCTATTTTGTATTTCATGCTAAGCAGTCAGATGTAGGAAAAGGGCAGGGAGCATTTCATATGAAAGGCAAGGTCATGAAGTTTTATGTCCCGCCTAATCAGTTGTCACTATGCATTAAACAAGTGAGCAACGTGCGTTTGCAAAACGATTAATGGCTGTTTTGTAGAGTTTGCTTCACCTGAGACAAAATTTTGCCTAGCGCCTTATCTCCTCAAGAGGTGGATGCTTCTTAATATACAGGGTGATTTGCAGAAATTTCCCGTTTTGTATTATGTGCCGTCTAGCCTGATCACCTGATTTGTGTGTTTTTTATGGGGTTATCTTAAATCAATAGTTTACAATGACTCCAAGTATCCTACCTCATTTGAAGAACAATATACTTATGACAAACTATTGCCAACTTACCCATCAATATGCTCCAGCAAGTTGAATGGAACTTCAAAAATTCACCAAGTGTGGGCATTGACAATGGGGCCCATCATTTGTCCAATTCAATCTTCAAAACTATAAGTGATATAAAAATTCAGGAAAAAATTCAATTATTATTCTTCACTAAAAGTTATTTTATAACAATATCTTTACTGTACTAGTCTGCTTGTTTTTGTGCTTCAAAATCAGGAAGTTTCTATGAATTACCCTGCATATATGATCTGTCAGAAATTTTGGATATGGTTTAGTTTGGGAAATAAAAATGTTCCAATGGAAATGGCTTAATATGTAGTAGTTATAGAAAAATCAAGATGTCTGCGCAGGCTGTGTAGCCATGTATACACTTCATTTTTCTTTGATTTGGGAGAAAAGATGAATATTAGTAAGAATATTTAATTTCTTGAAGTAACTCAGATTTATACCTACTGAAAATGCTTAATTTTGGTAAAAGTCTCTCTAACCTTTGTGCACCAATCCATAATCCTTCATAATTGTGTTGAATTTGGGATAGTAATGAGTTTTTGCATGTGAAATTTATCAGTTATTATTTATAAAGAAAATTCTTAACCAAAACTGTGGTTACTAATTCAGTGGTTGCCTGATGGGATCACAAGTTTGCAGTCTGGTACAGATGGAAGTTTATATATATCTTAATGCACTGTGGATTGGCATCCAGTATAGATCTGCTTCATTTTTGATGTGATGAATACTTACTGCTCCTTCATAGTTGAAATCAAAGTGATGATTTTCATTTCGTTTATACTCCTTCCCTTTGATTACTTTCTAAAAAGTAATCAATCATAATCTTGAGAAATTCTGTATTCTTGTATGAAACAAAGACGAGATTGCAGTGTTATTTCACTCGTAATGCAACATGAGAAGCGAGAGTATCACATAGATCAGTATTTTTATCAAGATCATAATATTATTATTGATCATTACTAAGATCTGGGTTTACAATACACCAAATATAACTGGGCTGGATGATGTTACGTGGCCAGGAGATTATTTTTTATTATTATTCTATGTTATCCTATTTTAATTCAAAATTCTGTGCCTTCATTTGGGAACGTCAGCATTGCCAATGTGTTGCACTATTAATGGTATAATTTACCTAGCTTAAAAATGTTCTATAATGGACAATCAATCATTGTTTCATTGGTGATTCCCTGGCACCAATGGGAAAGCCACTTACTGTTTACATTTCTGTTAACTAATTGAAAAATTTCATCTTCTGCAAATTTACTAATGCGAATAATTATTATCTATTTGTAGCCTTTATTTAATGTAGGTATTTTATGGTTTTAAAAAATTTATCCTTTGTTCTGCCTTGCCAAAGGATTGAACTAAGATAAAGGGCTGCTATACTTGCATGTATATTTCTGTCTCTTTGTAACACATAATTCAACTTTTTTGGTAAAGTCTTTTAAGCAATTCTTGCTTTTTCTGGGGGGAAAACTAGCTAACTAATGATGAATAAATAGATGATGATGAATAAAATTGAGTTGAGTAATCAGCAAAAAAAAAAATAAATTACCTATTTTCAATCTCCGTAAGGTTAAGGTGCAATGGGCATTAGGATTGTATGGATGTACATAATTGTTTTTAGGTCATTTTTCTTGTACATACGCTATCCAACTAAATCTCAAAGCAACATGCATACAAAAGGGAAGTGCACTGCAAATGATGTTCCTAAAGTTGCCTTGTCCCAAATCAAATGCTCTGTATCATTATTTCTTTACTTGAATGTTAGTTTTTTCTGAAGCTGTTCTTCCTCAGGACAAACTAAAGTTAGTTTGTCAGCATTTCCTTTTGTTAGCAGCATTTACTAAATACCATCCATGGCTTTATATTCATGTAGTTATATTATTCCAACCAATGACCTTGTGGCGATCAATTTTCCTCGTTTTATTCTTAGCCTAAATGTATACCTTAGCTTAATATTACCTGCTAATGAACTATAATTTATATGCAAACTATTTCATAATTATCTTAGTAGGAAAGGTTTTGTGCACTTAGCTTACTAATTTCTTATACATTTGAATTATAAGAGATGAAAGTATAAACAAAACTTGCTTTAACAATTAGGATTGTATACCAGGAGGTCACGGTATTGTGAGAGTGTTGTTGAATCAGAATGTGTTTGCAGAACAATGAAGTTAGGTCAGTTTTCTGATGACTGGCATGCTGATGTGATGATGTGATCAGTGGTGCAAAGCGAACGTTCGTTGTTGAACATCACATGTGCTGGTCCTAGAACATGAAAGTTTTTCTAGTAGCTGTATGTTCACTTGTTTTATGTTGAATGAATTTAGTTGTTCAGTTGTATTGCCTGGACTCATACAGGGCACAGTAATATGCTATGGTGTTATAAAGAGTAAATTGTTACCGATAATTCGTAGAGTTGCTGCTAACTTAAGCTTTGGGCTAGCGATGCGTTATGGCCGTGAATATGCCCCTGCTTCTGTGTTGCTAATTGCACGACTTCCGTTTCTTTACGACTCTTTGAGGGAGGTAGTTTAATTTTTTCATCGGAAAAGGAATGTTTAACCATGCATTTTGTATATTGTCTGGACGCCAAAGGAAGTCGTAGAACGCAGTTTTGTTGAACCTGCCTGAGGAGAGAAATGGTCTGATTGGTGGAGGGTAGATTGGATTGGTAGAGGGTAGTAATAAAATTTGGCTACCCCGGGTCTTTGAGACTATTGCGTTAGTTGAATTTTACAACATTTTGCTATAAATTATGCTTTGACTTTCGTTTTTTATTATTGTTACGGTTTTGCCTAATCTCTTGAACGTTTCTGTTAATCTGCCAATAAAATATACTGGGCTTCCTTCACTTGAGCCGCGTTCACTTCTCAGAGACCTGGCGTCTCCAATTTAAAAAATATATATATTTTATTCTCGTATTCTTTCCAAATTGGTAGTTAATTCAATATTTTGTAGTCAAACATGTTCTTTATTGATATATTTATGTTTTTGATGGTCCGGAGGAATTATTTCAAACAAATGTTTCTTGTCCACCTTTTTAGCTAATACTTCTTTGGCCTTGATGTTCTTCTATTTCCCATCGTATTCGCTAAAAAAAATTTTTGAT